TCCTCTGCTGCAGCTTCAGCTGAGACCAGAACCGGGTCCTTCAGATCCTCTACTGCAGCTTCAGCTGAGACCAGAACCGGGTCCTTCAGATCCTCTCCTGCAGAGTGAACCCTCTCTGAGTCTTTGGGTCTGGAAGCAGCTCCCCTCTGGGACTCGTCAGAGGTCTCCGCAGGTTCTGCAGAGGTCTCAGGTTGGGCCACGGGTCGAGGTGGAGTGTCATGGTGAACGTCGTGTTCCGTCACATCAGCAGCAGCTTCTGGACCGGACTCAGACCCAGCTCTGGGACCTGTTCCTGGGTGAGAAGCTGCTCCTGCGGCCTCATGTTGGACATCAGGCTCAGTAGAGCCTTTGGTCAGTCCTGGAGGAGGTTCTGCAAACTCTGACTGGATGCTCCTGGTGTCTGCGTCCTTCTCATCATCAGAATCAGAATCAGAATCAGAGTCCGAGTCGCTGGAAGACGATGAGGATGATGAAGATGACTCGTCAGCTGCAGAGGACGCTGTGGCGGCGCTGTCTGTGGACCAAGCCGGGCCTGGAGTCTCTTCCGGGGCTGAGCTTGGACCGTGCACCTCAGCCAAAGGTTCTAGAGCCGGGGGAGCAGCGGTTCCACACAGAGGAACCCCGGAGAGCCTCACAGGAAAGGAAACGTCCGTCTTGCGGGCGAGAAGAGCTGCTCGCCCGTCTGGAGCGTCTGCTGCCGGAGGAAGGAGGTAACGAGACACAAGCAGGCAGAAACAGCAGCAGTTAGCCACACACTGATTTTAGAGGGGTTCACAAAAACACCAGAACTTGGAGAAAAACTCTAAACTTACGATCGTAAACAAGTTTTGGCACAGATTTATTTTGCTGGAGAAAAAAAAGCATTACGGATTAGACAAAAAAAAGTTCTGGTTCCGATCAGCTGGATCCTCAGCATCGTCCTGAGAAGGTTTAAATGGGACTGGCAGAACCAGGAGTGACTGGACCGGAACAACCTCAAACAGTAAATTATTCTACATCAGCAGCGAACCACCTGAATAACGTTTGACCTTGACGTGTTACCTTGAAGCTCCTGAAGTAGCTGAACTGAGCAGAAACAAAGGAGCAAAACAATCAGCAGAAAAACCTGAAACACAAACCAAAAGGCTGAAAGAAACTGAAAAACAGCTGAAGCTGAAAGGAACTCAAAGAGAACGGGTTGAAGTTTGAAGGATGAGAAGAGCGCTCCATTTTCAATGAGAAAAACATGGCCGACAAAGTTAAATCATTCAAAAAGTGAAAGTTGCACAAATATCAAAAGTCTGCGCAGGAATGAGCAGAAGGTTTTGATTTATGAAATGTTGAAATAGAACAAAAGTTGTGGGAAGAGTTACGAGCTGAAAACCGTACGGAAGATTCAGAAACTTTCAGACTCGTTTAAAAACCGCTCCAACTCTACCCGGCTTTATTTTAAGTGTCCTCCGGTTAAATACGTGAAAGAGGCCGTCATGGTGGGTGCACATCCAGCCGAGGAGGAGGCACCACGTGCACAATGAACAATGTGCAAGAAGAACATCCATCCATTTTATTTACCCACTTCTCCTTCCCAGGTTACGGGGAACTGGTCTTTATTGAGCTCGACCGATACACCAGTAGAGCCCGATATTTTAGGCCTAAAATACCGATACGATGAGGACGTATCGGTGATAACTGTCCCATCATGCTCCGCTAAAAAACATTCCTAATTTCCACCTCTAAGATGCTGGAACCAGCTGTAGTTGTACAATGTATCCAGCAGAGGGAGCCAGAAGACTCAAGTCATGGCCGTTCACTGAAGTTTCACTTTCAGCACAGCTGAAGCAGGGAGCAACTCTGTGTAGAGTATTTGACTGAACAGAGCCTGGTGAGTTTATTTTAACTGATCCATAAAATAAATCAACAATAAATTATCTTCAATCCTCCAACCTGCTCGTCATTAGCTACGTGCCCCTCAGGTTAGCAAGCTAACGTTAAGATAACCTAGCATCGGCTATTGTCTCGTACGTGACTGAACAATGAACAGGAAGTTGTTTCTTTGTTTAATTTATATTTTTGTAACACACTTGATAACTTTATGGTGATTAGTGGAGGATAGAAAACATGACCACACCTTAAGACGACTGTTTTTATGACCAGTGCTCCACAGTGAACCTGCTGTGGGACCAGTTATAGCGTGGATCTGACTAGCTTAGCTTCATGGTTGCTAACAGCTGTGCTAAATAAACAAGTCCCGCTCCACTCCATGTTTACGTAGATTCTTGGTGGTGGACAAAGCTAAAAACTTTCAACCGTTATATCGATCGTCAGCATTTGCGTTCCCCTCCCAGTATCGGTCTCGGCGCCGATATAATATCAGCCCGCCCGACATCGGTCAGGCTCTAGCCTTAATGTCCATCAGTCTCTGTTTGGGAGGCGGGGGACACACTGGACAGGTCCATTACAGTGGTTCCCAGACTCTTCAGCTTTTGATCCACCAAATAAAAGAAGCAGTTCATGATTCCAATGATTGCTTTCAGAAATAAGCAAGCGCTGCTTATAAACTATCATTTTTTAAAACATTTGCTTATCTGTTGGAGAGAGAAGTCCAAATACGCTGTTAAAACCATAAAATATCTGTAAAAAAATAAGCATTTTAATTATGTTTTATGCTTCTAACACAATTTCTATGTCATTAAATGACTGGATCGGTCAGGATTTGTTTGTATTTATTTTTAACAAGCATTTTCCACATTTATTCCAATGACATTAAATTGTAGATGTTTTTTGTGTGTCCAGTTTCTTCTTGAGCCTCCCTATGTTCCAACCACCTTCAGCCATCACTTCCTGGTTATGCTCCTCTCACCTGCACCTGTTCCCTGTTGTCGTTTATGATTTTGACTTGCTTTTTTGTTTTAGTATAATATTGTGATATAAATGTATAAGTAACGTGAATTAAACAGATTTTTAAACTTTTTTCATGGAAGTGAATGGAGCAGTTCTTCAAAATGTTTTAGTTTTATTAAGAATGAAGCAGAAACAGGAGCAGACCAGAAGAAAACAGCATCATTCTGTCAGCGCAGAAACAAAAAGCTTGTTATGTCCAGCATCTGTGCACACTCGGCTTTAGATCACAACACACACCATGAAGCAGCCGTAGACCCCTCAAACACGCCGATGCAACAAACACAACCACACGTCCTTACTCTTTACTGCAGCTTTGGTCTTTCTCACTAGTTTCTTGGGCTCATTAGCTTCAGTGCAGAACCAAAGAGCCGCTCGAATCCTCGGGGTAACCCAGCCGTCCACCTGGAGACACTGAAGAGGAGAGCATCCAACAATCAGTCTGAATTCTGGACCTAATTAAACTATTTATTTGTGTAGCACATTTCAAAACAACTGTCATCAGCCAAAGAGCAACACAATAATAGTTTTTAAACAATAGCTCAAAAATAAAAATGAACAAAAACATAAACCATGGAGCATAAACTGTCACACTCGTGCGGTATTATAAGACAAGGACCACAACGGAAACGACCTGATCCTCTCTGTGACCACATCAGTGGAGTGACACGGTGGTTTCAGTGAAAAAGAATAACTGAGGAAAGAAAGCTCTGCAGAAAGAGGTGAAGGCTGCACAGAAGTCTGTTGGAGTCAGTCTCTGCACCATCACAGACATCTACACCTCCACATGCACGAAGAGGGCCTAGGTGATCATGTGGCTAGAAAATCAAATGGGTCCAACAATAGATCCTTGAGGAACTCTATACATAAGAGGCTAAAGAAAAAAGTCCAACAACTGTCAGACAACCCCATTCAATGAGGCCAACACAGCTACGGAGCACTAGCAAACACAGACGTAGACGTAACTCAGTGAGTTTTACAAATACTGAGTTCACATCTGGTGTGGTAACAGAGTCGACAGACTTCAAGCACTAACAGATCTTACAAAACCTAAAAATGTTGCATAACGTAAATTACAAAGCTGGAGCAAAACTGCAACAAGTCTCTCAACACAAGATGACGAGTCTAAAAGTCAGATTTTCGGTGGGAGACGGTGGTCTGAATTCCTTCAGTGCGAAGCCTTTAATTGTATTTGTATTGTAAATGTAAAAAGGACCAGACAGTCAATTAAACGAGACATTTTTCATTCTCCCAATAAACATTTATTCAGAGTTCTTTATAACAGTTTCATAAAACAAAGTAAGAACTTTCCACTCATGCTGCCCATAAATGACACCAGACCTCTGATAAACGAGACTGAACCATAACTTTTTATTATTATAATCCCACAAAAACCTTCGGAACATTCAGAGAACATTTGCTGAAAGTTTCATGGCTTTCTCTAAAAATATCTAAAAGTTACGGAAATGTTTGCGACAAACTTTCACATTTTTCAAAGGAAATTCACGCCATAATAATAATCCATATATATGTATACAGGGTACTGCACCCAGTATCCACTGGTTAACTGGTCACCATTAACTTCACACAGACTCTCCCACTGGTACATCTTCATCTTTAAATCACTTCCTGGTCTGCTGCCTTCATACATCTCCTCCTACATGTCTCTGTGTGAGTGCAGCTACAGCGTGCGCTCTCAGGACATCATTACCTGCAGTGTTCCCTCAGTGAGGACTGAACTAGACAAAAGGGCCTTCTCCTACTCCGCTCCTGTTTCCTGGAACATCTTGTAAAAAGATCTGAAGCTCTCGACCTTTGACCTCTCTAAGTGGCTTCAAACATCTGGTAAATTCCTGCAGATGTTCCTGTTTTTAGTTTCTACATCTCCTTATGATCTAACGGTTTTTGTTTTGTTTTTTAATACGATTTTCTTTTGATTGTTATTCTCAACTTGTGTGCATCTTTTTCATGATTGTCCACTGTTGTCATCACTCTGTTAAAACCTGGTGTCTCTTGTAAATGAGTCCCCGACGCTCAATGGGATTAACCTGTAGAAATTAAGGATGAATGAAAAATAATCCCAGTTTTAAATTGATGACTTTGTTTAATTTAAACCAAATGTGATTTTAGTATAATTTAACAGTCATTTTAATGTTTTTAAATCGAAATGAATAATGTTAAATTAACCCTACATCGACGCTTATGAACCTAGAAGTGACTCAAATCCTGGTGAGACAGAACCGGGTCATTCCGAACAAACCGACCTCTGTGTGTCAGCATGTCCGTGCAGCACCGGAACTTTTACGTGAAGGTCTTCAAGAAACTTCACTTTCAAATTTAATGCCCATAAAACTGCATTTAAATCATTTAAGAAGCCATTCGATCATTTTACCTTGACAGAGCTCAATCGCCCTAAACGCAGCAAACTGGCCGCCATGTTGTGTTTCTGCTAATTCCTTCCGGACGGAACGTTGTGTTCCTGTTTTCATTGGTTTGTTTGTTTTTCACTTTTATTGCAAACATATATAACAACCTAAACTTTGAAAATAACGATTAATTTTTTTAAAAGTCGCAGGCTAATTTGATAACAATATAGATTAGCACAAAACGTTAACTTGGAACAATTGTGTTTCTAATAATATGTTCCGGACGGAAAAAAGTTCCACAACAAGCGGACGAACCCAAGTTTATACCTCCCTGGTTTATTTTAAAGCCTATGTTTGTATTTTTATTTAGTTCAGTTTAATTAATGTATATATGGCCAAATACCAACAAATGTAATCTCAGGACATATGATAAAGGAGGAAGAAAAAACAAGTACAAAACAAAAATGTAATTCATGTTTGATTCAGTCCAGCAGGATGAGGACTGGACTCAAAGACTAGAAGAACTAGAATAATTTCATTATGGAAAAACAGAAGACTATCCACAAAGTTAAGAAAACAAAAATAACTCGGGGGATCTGAGGGAATTTAAAATCGTTTCAAATCCTCCAAAACCATGAAGGGCCTGTTTGAACATGGTTCAGCTTTTCAAACTGATCAAAACCATAAACATTGTCCAAAAACTGATCAATCATGTCGAATTTCAAGTATTTATTGATTTGACTGAATGTTTCTGAGTTCTTAAACATATTCTTATTAATCATTTCAACTTGCATACAACCGGCTGATCCATGGATCATCCCTCCATCAGACTCAGGTCTTGGGACAGTAAGTAAATAAAGTTTATTTTGGAGCGCTTATTACAGACATAAAACTACAAAGCGCTGTATAATAAGAATCAACGCTAACAAATTTACAAAGAATAAAAGAAGCATAAGAAGCACAATAAAATGATGACACTTTTAAAAACCTGCAGGTCGAACTGTTCCACAGCCTGGGGGCCACTGGCTGAAAGGCCCTGGCCCCTTTAGTTTTCAGACGCGTACGTGGAACATCCAAGAGATCCAGTGTCTGGGAACGAAGGCCACGAGCAGCAGAGTGTTTGGCTAGAAGCTGACAAAGATACACAGCAGCCATTGAAAGCTCTGAACGTCAGCACAAGACCTTGGAAACAGATTCTAGACTCCACTGGGAACCAGTGCAGTGAGTCCAGAACCAGAGGGATGTGACAGGATTTGCTGGATTTGGTGAGAAGTCCGTCAGCTGCGTTCTGCTTGTAGACGTGAGACAGAAGACTTGTCCAGGCGGTAACAGCATCTGCAGCAGGGACATCCAGACATCTCTTTCCACAGCCACCTCTTCTGGGAGGACCAAGGCGTTTCCAGAGCAGCTGAGAGACAGTCTGTCCAGCGTGTCCTGGGTCCCAGTTGGACACCTCCCCACAGAGGCGCCCAGGGTCCATCCTTACCAGGGGCCTCATGAACAAAGACTCGCGTGGATTTCCTACTGAAACGTGGCGTACGCTCAAAACGAGAAAACGGCGTACGCACACATAAATCCAGCTGTGTGGAGCCGTGCACACGAACGCACGAATCAAGCACACTTCCTTTATCTGTCCCAATCTACGTGGAACTGAACGCAAAGAAGGGAATGCCTGACTCCTCCCTCGACACACCTCCATTTAAATATGCACATCGATTTAAATCTGCCCTGCACCTGAGGACTCTCGTCTGTGAGACGCAAGTCAGCTTCAGATATCTGAAGCTCTCGACCTTTGACCTCTCGAAGAGGCTTCAAGCATCTGTTAAGTTCCTGGAATAACCAACGCAGACAGGTTCCTGTTATTAGTTTTCTACACCGCCTTATAATCTAGCTGTTTGCTTCTCCTTTTAATTACCATTTTATTTTCACTTGTTACAAAATAAATCTAAACTTGATCCTTTATGATTGTCCACTGTTGTCATCACTTTGTTAAATCTGGTCTCTGTTGTAAATGAGTCCCGAGGCTCAACGGGACTAACCTGCAGAAATAAAGGTTGAATGTGTACATGCAGGGAAAAAGAGGAAGTTCACAGAACGTGAGTTGGAGATGATTGTAAGTGATGATTGTAAATGATGATTGTAAATGAGGAAGAGGCTCGTAACAACATTCTGTTTGACTCGCTGTCCTCTGGCGTTCGTGCCAAAGTGCACGAGGAGTGAGTGGAACAGTGAGTGAAGCTGTAAATGTTGTGGGGTCAGAGGAGCAGCACACCTGCAGGATTGAAGGAAAAATGGTCCGACATGCTGCACCATGCCAGCTTGTAGTCTGTTCCAACCACGATGTTCAGTAGAACGAATGAATCACGTTGAAGCGGGCCACGTCACCAACATGCTGCTTAGCTTCTTTTGTTCATCACATAATTTGAACACTGACTGAAAACACTTCCTGTTAACGTAAACGCCTTCATGCTGTGCTGGTGCTTTTATATCAATACGTGCAGTAGCTCCGATTACACGAAGAAACTGAGCTTTAATGTTGGCCTGTTCAGCTGCATTGTGGGTAATTTGATTCACCTTAAGGGTAAATCCATCCCACACAGCTGGCATGGCTCGGCTCAGGGTGGACTGGCTCAGTCCTGATCGGTCCGTCAGATCCCTCTGGAACGCTCCTGCTGCTATAGGAACCCAGTGTGGTCAGCGCTTATGTGCACGGGCAGCGCACGGCTCCTCGCTGTGTTGCGCTCCAAGACCGGCTGCAGCTCCAAGCAGAGTTCCAAAAGGAAGACTGAAATGTGCGATGATGCAGTCCTCATTGTGGTCCAGAACCTCCTCTGTCTCTAAACACAGGCTCTCTGAGCACGTTTGTTAAATCCTCTAAAACTGAAGCCGTTGTTGTTCAAGGTCTTTTCTGCACAGCTTTTAAATCCACTCATCTAATCTCATACGTGAGGATGTATAACTGCTCATTTCCCTTCAGTGCCCTGAGATGACGTCTGTTGTGACTTGGCGCTGTAGAAATAAACTGAATTGAATTGTACAATAAGTTTTCACATCATGAACAGTTTCCCAGTATCACCTCTAAGTGTCGCCAACGGACCAGTAACAATCGAAACGTGCTTTCCTGATGTTCTGGTTCTTGAAGGTGCAAAGAGGACCTTTCGTTGGCACGAACGTCGTGATGGATCGAAGTTTAAAGACTTTTTTCTCGTGGCCCGCCCTCAAGGAGGACAAGGAAGGAGGTGAACAACAAATACAACAAACTGTTTATTGGTTTTCTTCATGCCCGTTTCACCTAAAGCTTTATTCACAGCTTCTAACTCGCCTCATGACAAAAATCAAATCTTTAAAACTAGAAGAAAAGTTAGATTCTAAGCAACATCAAGCATTTTGTTCAAGTTGCACTACAGAGCTCAGAACGTGGTCGAAACGTTCACTTCAGGGAATCTTCATCCAGCTGGGGTTCTGAAACACAGAAGTAGGTTTGTCATCGTTCTCCGGCCTTCAAGCACTCCACAAAGAACCTCTTCACAACAACACGAGTTGACTCACCTGTAAACTTGAACTCGGGGAAGGACGTGAGGTCTCCTCCACCATACAACCTCTGAAGCTTTGCTACCTCCTGTGCCAAAGTCTTCTGATAGTCTGAGTCGGCATCAACCAGGCCCCCGGCTGCCCTGGAACGAACATCAACAATCAACGTTTTATCCTGATCCTTTTGGAAGCACATCTGGGAAGAGGTAAGGACACTTACTGGCTTTTTGCCGAGTACTGACGTATGGAGTCCAGGAAAAGCTTCTGAACGGGGTCCATTAGAGCTGAGAGTCACACGAAGACAACAAGTAAACAACTGACCTTTGCCAAAAATCCCAAACATCTCACAAATCACACCTCTAATATTTGCCGACCATAAGCACAATGCACCACACGGCACCAGGGAGTGGCAGACTGCAGCCAGATAAAGAGTGAGACAGGTAGGTCCATGCAAGGAAAGACAGGAGGTTAAGGTTTGGTGTGATGGGAACACCTATTTGCTGTCAGTACAGATAAAATACACAGATGGGTGACAAATGAAACAAGCGGTGCTCCGAGGTCCCCCGTCTTTGATTTGAATGTTCGTAGTTTTGGAGACGAGTGTTTTTCTGGACTGAAATAGAACAAAGAATGAAAATCAACCTTAAAGTATTTGGTGCAAGATATTAATGTGGCTAGGAGTTACACTGAGGAGAAGAACTGGGGTTCAGAGAACAGAGAAGTTCTTTTTGCTTGGTTGTTCTTCCATGTTTGAGGCGGCGCAGAGTGAAGAAGCACTTTTATCCACCAGATGCCACGGAGGAGCCAGGGGGTGGCCAATGGTGGCCTTGGCCATCATAAATTAATCTTCAGCCACGCCAAGAGCCACCCTAATCCTTTGAAACTACACTTTAGGCCATATTAAAGGATCTTCCTCTCAGTTTGGCTCTTTAGACGTTGCATGTTTTCTTTGTGCATGTTTAGGTTTTCATTACGTTCCTTGGTTTCCTTACACAGTCCATAAATATACGTAAAGGGTTGACCTTTGATGTGAGTGTATCTGTTTTTTTATTTGCCTTATGTGTGTCTGTTATCACACTGATGGACTGGTTACCTGGCCAGGTGTGCCCAGCCTTTCAACAACTGATTGCTGAGACAGGCAACTGGCCTGAACTCCAATGTAAGTGTTGGTTTTTATAGTTACTTCTTCTATAAATACTTTTGCAAAACAGTACGATGGTAAGAAAGAACCCTATGACCATATCAACCTCCTTGAGTATCGCCTACAGCTATGAGCATTTAGTGCAGAGGAAGTACTCATAACTGATCGTACAGACATTATTCTTGGGCAAAGACCAGGGTAAGGTCATCACCCCACGAGAGAGACTGACTTCTGAGGTTTGAGCTTAGACTGTGAGACGCAGCGCACTGTCCGTCACATGAAACTACCAAACAAGGCTTGTCCAAACTCTGCTGAGTCCTCAGAGCCTCGGACCTCGGTCTTTAAGGAGGCGGCAGTGAGGAACAGGTGGAGGCACGTTCAGTCTGTAGTTTATTTCAGACAGAAGACTGACCCATATAAAGGTCATGTGTTGTTGAACAGAAGACAGGATGTGAAGCTGTGCCTCAAGGAGAGATGGGAGAACTGCAACCACCTCAGTCTGTCTTAGATGAACATTGGTGGCACCTTTGTTGCTTCATTCACTGGAGATCTTTGGATCCTGTCTACATATGGATGGTTCCTGCTGTTGGCATGCAGACTCTCACCAGCCTTTATTGTGTCTTTGCTCAGGTGGAACATACAACCATTGCTACATTAAGCAAATAAAACATTTGTTTCAAACAATTGCTTCACTGCCCGTGCTTTGGATTTTATGTTCTTTTTGACCTTTCAAAGTGGCCTCAGGATAATGTTGACCAAAGGACAACAGGACGGTTGACTTTTACCCATCAAATGTACTTATGTTAATGCACTGAGGACAACTGGATCTTGCATTTTGCAGTCTGAGGTGTCAGGTAAACATAGATTGTGTGATTTGCTGATGTGAACTGAACAGGTGTTATGCTGATCCAGGAACTAGAAGAGAAGAGGACCAATGTCGTATGTTGAGCCTGAGTACCACTCCAGCTCATGTTTCCCATTTTATTTGCCACCCATCACGTTTTACTAACAGTCTGATGATAAAGCACCCAACTGTGACTTTGTATAGTCCTAAACAGACCTTTAACATAAATGACAAAATAATAAAATTAACATCTTCAGCTTCTACCTCGTTCACAACAACCAGGATGCAGCATCTCTTTGTTTTATGTTTTATCTCCATAAAAAAACAAGAGTACCACATGCAGCACATTATACGCCCGTCGACAAACTGTTGTACAGCCATTTATAGAAATGGCCTGAACAAATAATACTTTGTTTTAACTGTGGCCTTGATATGTGATCTTGATCTTGAAGCTCGGAGTGATGGATAGTGTATATGTCACTCCATCTAGTGATGATGCATATGTGTAAGAAGTTAGATTTATCTTGTGCAGATCAGAAGTTAAGGGTTGGACAAGAGAAACCGTCGTACAGTACGGTGAGGATACCATGATATACTGCCTTTCGACGGGCGTATAAAAAAGAAACAAAGTTCAAATTTAGACTAACAAAACACGCCAAACAAGAAATAGGCTTGGTCACATCCCACAGCCCATGTGTTTCCCACATAAGACCGAGACGTGCCAAGGAAGGACCAGGAGGAAGTCTGAAGAGAGGAAGGACTGGCCATGGCTAAAATCCAAAGTGTCTCCTTTAGCGGTCGATACATCTTAGTTTACTATATTTTAAGTGCTGTTCTAAAATTACAGTACTTGTGGAAACGGTCAGTTTACTTAATGCGCTGGAAGATCTTTGGAGAATGGAGTAAAAATCTAACTGGATGAAGGAAACTCTTACAAGACAAAGCTTGAAGAACTGAGAAATTGTAAGTTGTGACATATTAGTAATACAAGACCAAAGAAATACACGTACATAAATGCTTGTACACATTAGTAGCACGCAACAAACACTTTCCAGAATTAAAGCAAGATAAAAAGGAATCAAGCCAGAAAGTTGTGAACTTGAGCATCACATGGCAGATGCCCCGAGTGAAACAAGCACAAAAGACAACCGGTTGGATAAACTCTACTTCTACTGTACATCATTTTATTAACAGTAACGAGGATGTTTCCTGGCATACTGCTGGGTATAGAAAGGAAAAGAGAAGGACTGAGGGGAGGGAGACATTTGAGTGTATACCCTCAGATGGTTCAACTGGTTCAGCAGTGGCTTCCATCTGCAGCTCTTCTCCTGCAGCTTCAGGTAAGGCCAGGGCAGGGTCAACCATCGTGGAGCTCTCCTTAGTGACAGAAGTTTCAGCTGCTGCCTCAGAAGCTTCGTCCCAAAGCTCTGGGGCTGACTCCACAGGAGCAGTTTCAGCATCAGAGCCCGTGGCTGCTTCATCCATTGGCTCCGAGGTGAACTCGGCAGGAGAAGCTTCAACTACAGGTTCTGGCATGGGTTCCAAGGTTGGATCTACAGAAATGGTATTAGTTACAGCCTCCATGGCTGCTTCAACTACTGGCTCCAAGGTTGGCTCTTGAGGTGCAGCTTCAGCCAGGGGCTCCAAGGTCACATCTACAGGTGCAG